CCTGATCAAACAAAAAAATTGACAGCTACGAAGGGCCAAGATATTGGATTTTTAAAATATTAAATTAATGTGTTTACCTATTATGAAAAACATTGTTTATGTGGGGTTTTTTTCTCTTTTCTATAAAAATAGTAATTCGTGAACTTTTTTACAACTCATCCTATATAGTACTTTCATATTACCCCCTTGTCTAATGTTAATATCGATTTGTGGCTTCGTGAAATGTATTTATCGATACACTTTTACAATTATAAGTTGAGAACTTGGGATGGTTTTGTTTGAACTGAAGACTAAACAAAGTAGTATTTACACTATTTACATTGTTCGGACTGTTGTCCTCATTTTTATTGCAATATTCACAACATTTCGGCCGCCGTATGCTCGGGTAATATTTCTTGGAATTTTGAACTGAAACATTTATTTAGTCCACGGGGTAGATTGTTGTAATTCCACGTGCCATACCTTTTTTGGATATCTCATTTTCTAAGAACACATGCCCCAGTGGATAAGTGTTGGTTGGGTGATCCCAAAAGTTACCTGAGCCAAAGAGTTAAGGGTTCAATACCTGGCCACAGAAGAGTGAACAAAAACTTGGAGAGTTAAGGGGAATTAACTGAAATGGAGATATCCAAAGGCATGGCACGTGGAATTAGAACAATCTGCCCACATGGACTAAATAAAGGGTTATTTCTTTTCATTAATAAACCTACATTAAACTTTCCCCTGTTTAAGTCATTTAGTTTTTCTTGTAATACACGATATCAGCTAAGTATGTCTGTGTGTGTATGTGAATGTGTATGTGTAATACTTTTAATTCCCAAAACTCTGTTAACAGATCGTGGGATAGATAGATAAATATAAACAGAGTGGGATAGATAGCTATGAAAAGAAATAGATAAACAGATAGATGTAAATAGAATGAGCATGTATGTGTATATGGGTGTGCGTGTGCGCGCGGGCTGGTGTGTAGAGACGCTTTTGCGTGTGCTGTCAGACTTCTGCACGTATTTCAGTCAATTCTTCCTTTTATCTAAGACTGGAGCAGGTGGGTTTTTAAAAGATAGGGCGACCAAACTTTTATGCATTGCTTGCAAATAACTCACATACCTTTTATACAAGTGCTCATTTTTACAAGCACGAAATCACATCATCGCATTGTGCATATACATAAATATTTTTCTTGGATTTGATTTAATATATATATATATATATATATATATATATATATATATATATATATATATATATATATATATATATATATATATATATATATATATATATATATATATATATATATATATATATATATATATATATATATATATTATATTTTATATAAGTTTGTCAATTAGCTGATTGATATTGCTTTCAGCATTCCGACTCAAAGTTTCGTAGATGGACCTGTTCGCCCCCTCTTCAGGTTCTTATCATTGGTGCGTGTTTCACCCCCCATATTGTTTGTGATTGTGTGTGCGGTCAAACATGAAGATAAATTAATAACCCCGCCCGGCAAAAAAAAAAAAAAAAACCTTTGAAAATGGTTAAAGTGGCCGAAAGCACTCGGGACAATGTCCAATACGGAAAATTTTGCACTCCCTTATTCCCATCAAACAGAATGCTTGAAAAATAAAAATTAAATTTTTCTTGTCTGTCATATTCAACTAACATCTTTTTAAAAGAAAGGTTGCTGCCCAAATATACATTAACACACACACACAATATATATATATATATATATATATATATATATATATATATATATATAAGGGAAGAGGTTATAGTTGTTCCAACGGGAGAAAAGTGTATATTTTAAAGAGAAGAGAGGAGCCGCAAACGTTTTTAGTTATAATGTAGATTTTTTAAATATATATTATACTGTTCCATATTTTTGCTACACGGGTTTCGGGTCTTGCGACTTACATCAGGCGAAGAGTGGTTATTTCCACATATAATTTAAGGAATTATGTTTTCCTTATGTTTTCCGATGTTTAACCATTGTCTTTTGTATGTAACAGTCTAAAATATATATATATATATGGGGGGGTTGTGTGTGGGGTGCGGGTATGTGCGCGCACGAGTGTGCATGATGTGACACCGTCTGGTATGCCGCCCTACACTAAGTTTCAAGGACGTTTGCAAGAGGGACCTGAAATGCACAGGCATCGATTCTGGTATCTGGGAACAGCTAGCAGACGATTGTAGCAGCTGGCGCCATGCTGTTCAAAAAGCAGTCACAAAGGCCGGGGAAAGGCGAAACCAACTGTTGGAGATCAAAAGACAACTAAGGAAGCAGGGAGGGCAATGTCAGGCCTTCGTTCCACATTTCAACTTCATCTGTCACACCCGCGGAACAGAGTGTCATGCAAAGATTGATCTGTTAAGCAAATCCAAACGCTGGTCGCAAAATGACAATGTTTGATCAAAGAGGGTTCTGCCATTATCTCGCGAGATAAGTGGATGCCTACTACTAGTAGTAGTACTACTACTATATGTGTGCTTATCAAAGAATGTATTTGGCCAAAAGTCAAACAATAAGGGTGTATTAGGAAGATAGCATTTTTAAGTCAAGCTGTCTTTGAAATTGTAGTGACCGAATTCAAGAGATAGAATAATAATACTCTCGAATATATATATATATATATATATATATATATATATATATATATATATATATATATATATATATAGTAAGACCTGTCAAAATACACAAGCATTTTTTGAATTTAACTTATTTTAAGGTCAACAAAATGCTTGCTGAGAAAGTTTTCAATAGTTAACAACAATAATCAATTAATCAATAAATATTTATCTCTTGACCAACATCAGAGTTTCGTGTAATACCCTCTAACCTGATGAGCGGTATACGAAATTCTGGAGTCGGTCAAGTGATAAGTTGCTTAAACTTTTATTAATTAACTGACAATATATATATATATATATATATATATATATATATATATATATATATATATATATATATATATATATGTGTGTGTGTGTGTGTGTGTGTGTGTGTGTGTGTGTGTGTGTGTGTGTGTGTGTGAAAAGTTTCATAGGCTTTAAAAGCTCTACAATATTTTGAATTGTTAATTTATTCTTTTATATGTATAAATAAAATTCACATGCTAGAAATTTATAAAATGTATACGAAGGAATATAGATTATTAACCACTAAATATTATTAAATTTATCCTTTTTTTTTCTTTAGGGCACATTTTATTCGCTCATTTTCTATCAGAAAATAATTATTCATCTATGATAAAGAAATTAATAAAAATTAAAAATAAAATTAAAAAAATGTATGTAATAAAAAAATATCGTTTTGTATATCTGCATGCATCATCCAAGTAGGAAAAACGGTGCATTGTAAACAAAGCTATTGAAATAAGGAACGATTTAAATGAGTTAATTTAATGCCAATAATAATCATAATAATAAATAAATACAGAGAGAAAGTTTAATTTATCTAAATTTAATCTCTCTGTTATTTATATTGCTGATTCACTGGTTGATTTTTTTCTTTCTCCCCTCACATTTTTTTAGTCGTTGTGCATATATATATAGGTTTTGTCCTCGACTGAGCTCTGAAGGACGAGGAACGATATCTAGTTAACCCCCTTTTTGCCTTTTCTTTTTATCATATTTTTCGACCCACCATCTTACGGTGAGTATTTTTTTTTCTTTCCTTATCTTTGCTCTCCTTCGCCTTTGTTTTAATATATTTTTGCATATGCGAGAATATATTAAAATATTAAAAATTATTTATATATATAATGTCTTCTTTTTTAAAGCCCTAATAAAATTTTGTACCCCCACAGATTATTTAAACAAATAAATATATTTTTCAGTGGTGATAATGGTTAGATTGTAATTATAGAGTATGTAGTATGTGAACCATGCAATTTTGCCTGTGCAATATATGTCCATAACCTCACTACGCTGTGGTTTTCCTTGAAAGCAATTTTTTTACGAACTGGAGTTGCCAACCACATGTCTAGCCGGTTTTTAATTATCCTTCTCCTAAATTGGTTGCCAACAAAAACTAGAGAATCCTATTAAATCCATGACGGGAGAAAAATGTATTCATGCCTGTATTTATGAGAAAGTGAATGTAACGGTATGGATTGTAATTTGAACTCGACACGCTAATATATATATATATATATATATATATATCCATTATTTATTTTAATTATTTCCATTTTGAAAAAAATAGGGGTGCAGAAAATAGCATCAAAAGGAATGCTATTTTCTGCACCCCTTTTGCACATGGTAAGTAGAAGACGGAGTATGCTGCGAAGGAGCGAATTCCCCATGATAAATTTCTCCCCAAATTTCACACAATGTGTGACAGCTTTTTCCAGTTAAATTTATTTTTACAAAATTGAGGCAAAATTAAACACGTTATTTTTTAAAAATTTAAATACAATCTATAAGTTATAGGAAATAACGATATGTAATTATAACAATTTTTTCTTTGCCGCAGGATAAGATAAGATAACTATATCTCTATTCTGTTTTTTATTTTGTATTTCAACGTAAAATTTGTATGCTCAAGCGCATCAAGTGACTGTTTTCATTGCGGCTTCATTTTGAATGACTGGAATTACATGTGTCGATAAAATTTAATCACCTGTCTTTAGCTAAACCATAAAATATGAACATTTCAGAAGATAAAAAAAAGATGGGAGCAAATGTATCTTCAGATTGATTTCTCTCGCTTGTAATGACTTAGGCTAAATCACCGAGATCACTGCAACTCACAAGTAAGACATTAATTCATTTCTCTTTTCCATGTGTACCTGTTCAACTGCCTCAACTAACGCATATTCTAGTTTTGTAAAGATGTCTGTAAATCTCTTCTGTACACATGCACGTCTTCTTATCTTTTCATGCCAATGAATATATTATTACCCTATCGTGGCTATGGGAGCATTGTATTGAGATGGTAAGATACATTTAACTTTCCAATAACTCATAAATACAATGTAAAATGTTTACGATCATATCACGTTGAAACAACTGTTCTCGTACGGTAACCGATGTTAAGCAACGTCGTGCCTGATCAGCACCTAGATTGGCGACCGCTTGGGAATATCAGGTGTTATAAGCTTGGGTGTGTGGATGGTGTAATAGATGACGACTCAGGATTTTAGATTGGAGAGCCGAGTTCCAGTCTCAGTCTTGTTCGTTATATTTACTGGGGAAACCAACTTTTCTCCGCCTAGTTATGGATTAGTTAGTAGGACTTATATCAGTTAATCATTATTATCTCAAAAATTCTTACAATCTAAAAATATTCCCTGGCTTTAAATAACCTGCAAAAGCCATAAAAAATAAATCGGTGAATATAAATTGCTATTTATTATCTAAAGTTTGCTTTATTTTGCCAAAAAATAGACTAAATTTCGTTTAATATGTGTTTTTAATTATTAAAAATTTGGTTATTTTATACGGTTATAAATTTTTTAGAATATATTCTCATATATCAATTTTTTAAAATATCCAATTTAAATTACCAATAAAAAAAATCAGCGCATATTCTAGGCCTCCTCAATAGGCCGAACGTAGAAATAAATACAATATAGGAGCGGTTAATAAATAAAGGAAGAGATATAACAGCATGGTTTCAACAACAGCAGCAATAAGAAAACAGAAAGCTCGGTAAATGCAGTCAAACTTGACAAACAGCAACAGGCAATTTAAGTTTAAGATTCCAAGTTCTAGACTCAGGATCGTCCCAGTAATTGTGTGTGAATTGTGAGTCTTAGACTCATTTGAAACAGGGGAAGCAATAACTAATTAAGAAGAAAATATCGTTAGACATGAACAGCGAAACGAGAAAAAAATCTACCTCCGAAGATTAAATGAAGGTTTCAGTTCGAAATTCGCTGAAGGTTACTCGGGTCGACAAGCACCTGTGGGATAACAACAACAAAGATGATGATAATAGTCAGAAAGAATATAAATATATCTTGGAGGTTCTAAATAGTGATTTCAAATAGCATGCGCATCTTCATTTATATTTGCAAATTACTTATTGACTTGCGGTTCAGATTGTTTGCCATCAGCCTTGTTTCTTCTTCAAGCAAGACAATAAACATAGATTGATATCTGATTCCTGAAGATCCGTCTCCTTGGCTTCATCTCCCTATTGTATGGTTAGATTTAGGAGAGCAATCTGACACCAGCAATAAAATCCGGCAGAACTAGCTAATTTTGACAAATGCATTTGTGTACCGACGTTAAATATTAACCAAAGTGTCACATTACGCCTTCGTTGTGAGACGACTAAATACCTCCCCGTTATCTAAGACTATGTTTTGTCTGGCTCGTCAGCAAATACATCTTTTGTCATTGTAAGCACATATTTATATCTCCTGTTCATCACAGATTTAACAAGAATCGTTTTGAAATTCTTAATTTAAAGTTATCTTCTTGTATGTGGATGTATTATAATGATCGCAGACAGAACTAGTGTTAAAGGTTTACAATTTGAAAGCCAAACAGCTAAACAGAAAACGAATATATTAATAAATTTTTCTATTGATGCATTAACTTTTGCTAAAAAAGGATGAAAGTTAAATATCAGAGAGTTTACAAATTTATTTTATATTGTGGCCGAGTGGTAAGAACGTTTGTTTTCTGACCATGAGACCTGGGTTCGAATCGCACCATGGAAGGTTTATCTGATGTTATCGGTCTGGAGAAGGCGATCACCTTTGGAAAGTGCCTCATCAATCATCCCTTTTTAGGGTCTGAGCGTGCTGGTATTGTTTAGACTGTTGATAACACGATCTCTCCCAGAAACCGTAACTAAGGTCCGCTCAGTATAGTAAACCGCAGGTGAGCTCCGTGGGTGTTGAATAAACATAAATGTTCCTGAGCAGGCATCTGCAGCAGGGATTAGCTAGCCGACCTATTATTATTATTATTATATTACATCTATATAAATAAATGCGAATGTCAGTGTGTCACTGTGTGACACCTTTTCAACTTTACTCTTAAAAGCAGTAGCCCAACATATACCATTTTGGAATCAAGCCGACTCCGTGAGCAAATTAAAAACATTCCGGGCCAGATCTGAACCCGCAATCCTGAAAATTTGGATTCCCAAATGTTCATTACTGGGATTGTTTTCGGCGATTTTTTTTCACGTGATTTTTTGCGACGAATTTTTTGTACGATAACAATTTTTATTATATAGAAATAATTTGGGAATAACCAAAATTAATTGCGAAAGTCACCTATAAAATAAAAATAATTGTTTTTACAGAAAGTAAGGACCTACGTACATCAAATTGTCTTTAAATTAAGTAGCAACAGAAAAATTATCGTTGAACTTTTAAAAGGTAAGATTAGATATTAATGCAATACTTAAATGCAGCGTTCAAGGAAAAGAATGCTTTGTGCAAATGAAAACCCAGATCAAACTGCATCCAGAGGAGCTTCAAATGCTGAGAATATGCAGAGACTTAGGGACTCTGATACTCCTGAAGAAGCCGAAGGCCTAATCAACAGCCCTCCGCATGAGCTATCATAATAGCTTTAAAAAAGTGCAATAAAACTATCTAATTATTTAATTAGAAAAGCTTTTAATTGTTTTTATAAATAAGACATATTAAGGACACTATCATCTTAAGAAAAAAAAATTTTCGATGAATAATGAATTTTTACAAGAAATTTTTCATTTTTTTAAAAATTTTAATTAAATCATTTATAATAATTTAGAAATCGTTTAAAATACTGCATTAACTCCAGTTCTTTTAGGTGATATTGTAATTAAATAGAAAATATGTTAACGAAGCAAAAATTGAAAAGTTTAGTAAAAGTCGTCGAGACCCAGTATTTTTAAAATAATTTTTACAATTTTTAAAAATTTTAACGTTAATTTATTCTTAATATAGTATTCTGTACTTGCCATTATTATGAAAAGGTCACGTGTCATAAGAGCTGTCTCCGTTTATAGAGAAAATCGCTTGTCTGCAATTCAGTGGAATGAAAGATTTTTCAGCATTCTAATGGTCCATTTGTTGCTGATGAGTCAGGGAAGTCCTTGTCAACACAGTGGTTTGTGAATCGGTCAGCAAGTGATGAAGCTGTACCAAGAAATTGAGTATTGTGCTCCTCCTTTCGTGGGTGCTGCTACTGTTTTCCTTGCTTCTTATTTGCAACGGAATCAGATTCCCGAAAGTCTAGTTTTGCAAAGGAGGATGGATCTAAAAATTGGAAGAAGTTAAATCCACGGATCCTAAAAACAGCCCTGTGCATAGAAATTACATGAATAAGTACTTAGATATGATACATCGTTTTCAAACTCATACAACAGTTGATGCTAAATTTCAACAACTGTTGGCAGAAAGAAAGAAATGGAAAGCCATTCTGGATCGTGTAATTGATGGTATTTCTTTTCTGGGAAAACAGAATTTGGCCCAGTGGTGGCCTAGGGGAGAATCAATAGCAGGGTTGTCTTAGAATAATACAGACCAGACTTCTGGAACATTTTTGCTATTATTAAACGTCTGTCAAAATATGATCCAATTTTGGCACAGCATATTGACGAACGCAAAGATCATGCTAAACAAGCGACTCGAACAGAACTCATAATGAAACTATACATCTCCTTGGTGAAACAAACCGTACAAAAATACTTGATGGAATAAGAGAAGCGAAATATTACACAATAATGATGGAATAAGAGAAGCGAAATATTACACAATAATGATGGATTCATCTCCTGACATCGCCCATGAAGACCAACTTTCTTTGACATTACGATATGTATCCATCAGTAGAAATGAAGTTGAAATTAAGGAAGTATTCTTAGGCTTTTTTCAACTTGAGAAAAAAGATGCCAGTAGTATTGCCATCAAAGTTCTCGGCTTGTTAGAACAATATGGTTTGCCCATTGAAATTTGTCGTGGGCAGTCCTATGATAACGCAGCTATGATGGCTGGAGCTAGGAATGGTGTCCAAAAGAAAATATTGGATGTAAACCCAAGAGCAATGTTTGTAAACTGTGAAAATCATTATCTCAATTTAGCTTGTCTTCATTTCTCTGCAACAGATCCATGTGTTACACCATATTTTGGTGTCCTCGACAGACTGTTCGCGTTCTTTTTTTGTTTCTTCATCAAGATGGGCAATACTGAAACGATACGTTTCTCGAACGGTGAAACAACAGTTTGAGACCAGGTGGAAAGCAAGATACGATGCTGTGATTGTAGTGTACCAAAATCTAAATGAAATAATAGCCTACCTTGAACATTTACAACTTGGAGAGTACAGTCAAGAAACAAAACGTGATTCTGGGATACTTATCAACTAGTTTCAAATATTTTGATTTATCGCCCTAAATAACTTCTGACATTCAATTATATGCTCTGTGGAGAGAGTCCAGAAGAGGATGCAAGATTCTAAGGTTGGGTTAAATCAAGCAGATATGTACTTGCAAGGGTTAACCAACATACTGGTAATAAAAAAGGAAGAAATAATCAGCAATGTCTTGAACTCAGCTGAAAAATATTGCGAAGAATATGAAATTCAAATTGAGCATTGCGCTAGAAGGAAAAACATTTTGCCAGAAGATAGAGATGCTGTTCCAACAGTAAAGGAAGAGATGAAAAGAGTAATGCATGATGTTGTCAATCGTTTAGTCGTTGAGATTCAAGAGAAAGGTCAGCGTTTGGCAGAACTAAGAAAAAGATTGGAATTGCTTCTTAACCTGCATTTATTAGACACTGACGACGAAAATGAGAAAGCACGCCTTCGAATGAATGTTTGGATTTTCAAAATCAGTATCCAGATGGATGTTGGCAGTGTTCTTTTATACAATGAAATGATAGATTTCATTCTGCTAATTCAAGCTGGAGGTAAAGAGGTAAAACCCGATCTTCTTGATGTATTAAAGTGTATTATTAAATATGGCAATATATCTCTTGTTGAATTATCCGTGGCATACAGATTGTTGCTAACAGTAGCAGTTTCCATTGTTCTCGTGAGCGATCGTTTTCTAAACTTAAAATGATTACAAAGTATTTACGATCAACAATCACAGAATAGACTAGTAAACTTGCCGCTTATAAATATTGAAAAACGATTTCTAACCG